CGGCGGTCTTTCCCTGGTCTGGAATCCCTTTCTGACGGTCTCTCAATAGTGACGTTGGTACGTGGAATTCCCTCCATGGGGTTGACGAACGGCGCGACCTCAACTTCCACGCTTAGTTCTACGATGTTCATGCCGAACTCGGGGGTCTGAAGGGAATCCTTCGGGAAACAAGGATATGGATGCATATGGTTTCTATGCGAAGACTCTGCCCTATTTCGAGGTTACCGCTACCGCGAATCACGAAGCGCCGTATCCTTCGAGATATGAGGCCCTAGAAAAATAAGACACTACGATACTTGAATGACTTGTATACTTGAATACAGGTCGGCGAAGCCTGGGTGAAGACGTTTTCACGTCGAACGCTTCTCTCACCCCCGCCGGTTTCCCCATGGGATCCACCCTGGCCGGAGACCCGCTCACTTTGTTCACTTCCTTTTGAGCTAATGCTTATCCTGGGATGATTTCTCGACTAGGATGATTGTTCTCTGAGCGACTTTTTCCAGGATAGCTCAGAGACTTAGAGCCATCGATCAGTCGTGATATAATAGAAGCTGACTGCGCACGATCGAAGTGTTTGACCAGTGAAGCGGTGCAATCTATGTGGAGAAGTCTTCACATTGAAAGCAAGTGCAAAGGTTATCGATCCCGAATTCCTCAATCGACCTGTAGGACTGTTCAGATAGAGATGCGAATGCGGTGCCCTTCGTTACTCACTCAGAAACGGCTCCGCTAGCAGGCATGAACTCAACGAGCATAAAACGCTATCCCTGGAAAGCGGAGCTTGCTGATTGGGACACTTCGATCACCAAGAAGCTTGACGAGTGAGTTTTCCACACGCTTGGGAGCCCAGGTCACCTCTCATATCATATGAATGACCCATTCCTCGTCATTGCAAGCCCGATTCGCGTCACGGAGAGCTCGCAGAACATCGTAGCCCTCTCGGATTTCGACCTATCCTGGAAATCCATTACCGACAAGGAATCCCGCTTTCCATCGATCCACGCGATTGTCTAGTGCTCACTCAGTACGAGCGGGAGGGCATCCGACTATCATCTGCCATCCGGTGACCGAAATACATTGCAGGCTCACCCCGTACAGCTTCTTCGCTAAGCTCGCCGGGCTGAACGACTACCCTAGCCGCTCGATCAGTGGTGATGTTCCAACCCTGAGCCGAGTCTACGCGGCTATTCTTTGCCTGGTGTCGACATTTCTATCGATTCTGGTAGTCTTCGAAGAATGCTTCTCCTCCGGAGCTTCTGGGAAGTCTGCCGCCGAGAGGCTCAATCACAGGCTGCTCCCGAGGTGAGTGAACACCGAGGAGCATCGATTCCTCTACAAGGGAAGGGTAGCGAGGATCCATGAGCCGATCCTCTTGACAGCATCAAATAACCGGGGCATTCAATGAGCGAATTTATGAGGGCTCAGAGTAGAATTCGATGATTGGACACTCGTCGACACACATCGCAGGTTCCTCGTTCCCTTCCTCATGGCTACGATGGCTGGGCTCAGGTTGACTTTGGCGAGCAAATTACACAGCAAAAGTTACTTGGGAAGCATTCGAAGGATCGCCCTTGAACTATCAAGTAAGTCGTTTGCGAAAAAAATTGCCCCGCCGCACCGCTTGCTCAGATCCCTTTCTCGACAACTCCGAATTAATACAACGAAGCGGACGTCATAGGTTCCATTGGGTATTCAGCGAGCGCGAATGCTCCATTCCAGATGATCCGCATTTGAGAGATATAAGCGTCAACATGAAAGCGGTGAAAGTTCACCTCGTGGCCCTCTTCATGATGAATTGTCTGATGCTATGTGCGAGCGCAGCCTGTAACTCCTCGCCCTCCAGCCTGTCGGAAGTGTACTTCTGGATCAGAATGGCGCACTCTTTCCTCTACCTTTCCGCATTGAGTTCAGCCATTTGTTACATGTCGATCGTGAGCTTCTGTATCGTGCTCCCATCGTTGGATAGGATGTTGGAGGCTTTCGAACTCGCGGCGCGATCGACAGATTACCAGAAGCTACGTGTGAGTTCATCAATCTGGGGCCAGAAACTCGCTCGCCGAAAGACGTGTTCGCTGCGGAACTGCATGTTCAGTCACCGGAGTACGCGGTCACGCCCTGTTGGGAAAGCAAGGATATCACATTTCCGAGGCTGAATCGATCGCTCAAGGCGAATTATCGCTAAACTATTCGTGTGTCGCCGAGCTATCGTCGATACAGGATTGTTATCAATTTGTTTCGGATGGAGGGAGTTCCTCTGAAAATGTCTTTAGGACGATTCATTTGAATCGCTCACGACGCCGACGGTGTAACCGCAGACACAGCTCCCAGCCTCTGCGAAGGTCCCGCTCCATCGTGTGCACTGCCGCGGGTGCAATGCCGATGTAGCAATTTTGACTCAAACCCAAAACAGCAGGCTCATCAAACGGCACATCGCGCCAGGGCGTACTGTGCAAGATCTGATCCATGCGATACTCTGTCCCCTTCACAAGTGAGAATAGTTCCCGATTCGCAGCGATCCTCACTGTTAACATTCACCCTTCTCTTCAGTCTGCCATCGCTTGTCATGGGATATGCATTCGCATGATCGAATGCGTCGACGAGGTCGGGAGGTATTTTTTCGGAATCATCGTCTCCAACGGGATACTGCAAGCTGCCTACGCGATTAGTAGCTTGAACACCGAAGGGACCGAAGAATTGAATAATATTCTCAGCACAACATTGATCTTCGCTGTCCTCCAGCTACTGTTCGTGCTGTTCGTGATTTCGGTAGCTTCACGCGTACATCTCAAGGTGAATAATTGAGTATCACCCGGAAATATCATGAGGTGTGCCGGGAAATCATCTTCGCGGACTCGTCTACCGGACGTGGCTGGAAAAGTCTCCCGTGTATTCTCCATCATTTTGACTGCAGGCGGATGGATTCTATCCATGTCGCTGAATGCTGATCGGCAGGGATTCTGTGTCAACGATTCTTAGTCTTGCTCCTCTGTGTTCAAGGTTTATAAGCCGCGCGAGGTTTTGACCGAGAATGTCATCGACGAAGGAGCATTCCTTCAGCTTGCATCACAGTTCAACGCGAAGTTCCATGATCGATGCTTCGGCTATTCCTTCTTCGGTCTTGTCACGATAAAGGACGGAGCCGTCCTCTCGGTAGGTTTCCTTCCGCAGAAATCTTCCCTAATCATCAGGATATCGAGGGAGCACGAAAGCCTCTATCGGAGTAATCAGGACACTAAAACAATGAAATTCGCTTAGGTGCTCAACTTGACTACGACCTATATCATCGTCGCGTGTCAGTTCAATAATTAGTGTCGGAGGGAGACGGGGATGAGCTATGAGGGACAGAGCTCTGGGTCCTGAGCGGAGAAGTGCGGCAGTCGGGAACGGTATCCGAAAATGTTCCACTCTGCAGCAGGGGTTATAGAATTCCGAGAAATCCTCATCGACTTCGCAGAATCAATTGATTCTCCGAATCTCGCGATCTGCTAGTCGACAGGGTAGTTCCCCTTTCAACTGAAGTCCCCCGCTATTTTTTCTGGGAAACTCCTCCACCAGTCCAAGTTCTTCGACGCATCTGTTTGAAAAGAAGTTCTCGTGGTAGGTTGAGGATTCTCTATCGGAACATAGACTCGAAGTCTTCTGAAGATATCCAAAAGCTGCTCTGTAGAAATCATTCTGCAACGCCGATCATATTCGCTCTCAACACGAAAGCCCTCTGTGCCACCCGGAAGCACAGCACGCTGCCCAATGTTCAGCTTGTTGCATTATAGGCATGGAGCATCTTCGCATACAAGGAAGAGTCGCCGTCAAGCTGGAGATTGGAGTTCGTTCTTTCGAAGAAACATCTCACCAGTCTCTGGTAGCTTACCTCAGTCCTCTCTTCTGGATGTTTTCGTCTCTACCTGCCGAAAAGTGATCTAAGGGACCAACAATTGTGGGAGTTTGAGAAGGATTCCCCCGAGGAATGAATAAATAAATTGGCATGCCACGAACGAACCCGGCAGGAATTTGAAGGAGATCGATCATGCCGCATGTCTCCGATCACTCTCCGAGAGTGCGCCGATCTCAATTTGACTGCGAGGAACAGGCACAGGACATGGAATCAGGCAACTCCCAAGACACTGTACTCAGGCATCAGATCTGCCAAAGTAGGATTCTACTCCGAGGAGCAGGCGTGCGGGCTCCTTGAGAACTGTCAAGCGGCTACACACGGAAATAATCCTTGTGATTGAGGGGGTGCTTCGCCATTATATGGCGTTTTATTCGTTCAGAAGAGAACAGTGGGTTTCTGAGAATTTTCTACATATCGTCCTTATGGTCCTGAAGTTCTCGGACCGTTTCTTCTAGCATTTCGTGCCCTATGCATGTACATTCTTCTACATGGTGTCGAGTTATGATCATTTCTCCACAAAATTCACATACACAACCGTCCCGGTTGTATTATTCCTTTTTCATACATATCAAGTAATGGTAACCATGCCACGTCAAGATTCATATGAGTCTCCTGTTCGGCTGGTGGCCACCTCTCGCCAGACCCTTCGAGAAGTTCGCTTCCTCGAACTTTCGGTCCTTTTCGTTACAAGTCTCCGTGTAGGTTCTCATCACTGGTTCGACGAACCCTGTGCGATTGAGAATCAAGTCCTCCGTGAAACGGCGTTCTCCAATCATCTTCTGAGCGAGCGTGGGCGGCGGCGCGTTCCTCGGCAGTCCGATGACCGATTTCACAAATCTGCTCTTGACTCTATCTAACTGGTTCAGGTTCTCTAGCGTAAGGTCTGCCGCTATCGATTCCAAGCCGTAAATTACCAGAGGCGCGATCTTGATCCTGAAGATATTCACCGCCTGCTCGATATCAACGTCGGTCATTTTTCCCCACAGAGCCGGGGCTGCTGCACACCTGCCCGCTTTGATCTCCAAGTGCTGAGTCGAACTCAACTTCGGTGTGAGAGTTTTCCAAGGTAGCAAAAGCTGCTTACTAGTTGTATTTTCGACTCGATCAATTATATTCTCCGGTCGTCCGTGGCGTAAGATCCGCCGTTGCTGAATCTAATCACTTTCGCTTTCTCCGTGTTAATGTCGACTCCATATTCGTCGCTCCATTCTATCGCCCTTCTTATGTACGATTGTAGGCGCTGTCTGTCCTTCGCCGGGATGACCAGGTCGTCGGCAAAGAGAGCGAGCTTGGCCCCCGTTCTCCCCGGAATATCTGCTGACTTCGACGCGTATAGTACGAAAAGGAATGGCCTAGCGAGGTCTCCTCGTGTGAGTCCGTGGTTTTGTCGTATTTCCCGGTCTACGACGTGGTCTCCCTCCCTGACTTTGATGTAATTCGGTTGTGAAATATTTGCCAGGAGCCTTCTCAAGTTGGAGTGTATTCTGAACTCCCCGAGTGTTCTAAGAAGCAGATTTCTCGGGACTGGATCGAAGCACTTCTTGTAGTCTATGGAAACCGCATACGTCATTTCGGGTCGCTTCTCTTTGATGTACTCGATCACGCTGTTCAGGGCGTCGGTCGCGCTTCCGTGCCGTAGCAAGCCGTATTGTTCCGGAGGCAGTTCTTCCTCCATTCGGTCTGCAGGTCTCTTTGTCGAGAGCGAGGTGAGGACTTTGTAGGCGCAACTGGTTAGCGCGATGCCCCTGTAATTGTCCGGGTTCTCGGCGGAGCCCTTCCCCTTGAAGAGCGGCATGATCATCGAGGCAATGGTTGAATAGGTGCGTGAGTATCGGGATTGTGGTGAAGGAATGGGCTTTGAGGGGCTCATAGCAGATTCCGTCGGGGCCGGTTGGTTTACGCTGCTTCTTACCTTGGAGTACTGCGTGAACTTCTCCGTCTGTGAAGGGCCATTCTTCGTCGTCGTCGCCCTTCAGCACGCCACCATTCCTCTCCGTCTCCAGATCTCTATGAAGGAGCTTGGAGAAGTGGCTGATCCAGGTGCTGTCGTTGATCGAGGGGTTCATTAGAGTCTTTCGCCTTGGTAGCAGTATCCACGGCTTCCGTACGCTTTCGCGGATTAGTGGCATTCTCAGATTCGTTTCGTATTCATCTTCCTTCCGGGCTCTCAGGCTCCTGTAGGCTTTCTTCAGCATATGTAGGTCTCTCAGGTCCTGGCTAGCCGACGGATTCGCCCTTGTCAGATTAATGCACCGCGCTTTCATGCTCCGCAATTCGCAACATATTCGACATGACTCCTCATCCTTCGCCACGGCGAGACCTCGAGAGAGAAGTATCTACAACTATCAACCGTTTGGGTGCCACTGAGGGACGTCGGCGTCCCCCAGTCCTCCCAGAAGACCGGAAAATTCCGGACGGTGGCACGGAGGAATGTATGGGGGAGTGTGTAGACGCTCGCTCAGGAAAAATTCGCAAAGGGTTCACCTCTTTACTCGAATGGTTGACACCGCACGGAGTCTGCATAGCCGTAGATCCTCACCGAGCCGAATGAGGGAGGTTGGGATGCGACGGGTCTCACGAAGCTTTACGAGTTATTTTTTTCCGCATAACTTCTCGAATATCTGCAGGTGGATTCGGCGGATTCTCTCGAGTTGACCTGGAATCTGAATGAGAAACTCGGATTCCGATCTTGCGAACGCTGAGTGCACGGGCTCAACGTGAGCTCTGGCGACTGCCAAATGTCCGGGTAGCCTCATTTTCTGCCGTAAGACGGAGGCATTCCTTGTCAGACTCTCATTCTACGCTTTCCTCAAAAGGTCTGCTGGTCTCTACGACTCTCTAGATGGATCACTACGTGGCGATGTCTCTAAACGCAGCAGAATCTATACGACTGCTCTCGCATTGTCTGTCACCGTCACGCTTGTCGACTTTCTCATCTCATGTTATCCATCATCGTCATTCGACCGGCACTCGTCCAGGAGAGTCCTGGGTACCGAAACTCACTGGGAGTGAGCAAATTACGACAGAATGAGCTCCATTATCTTGTCACTATCTAGATCCTAGACCCTAAACCAGGGGTGTCAAAGAGGTGGCCTGCGGGCCACTAGTGGCCCTAGAAGAGTTTTTTCGTGGCCCGCGGCCGATCCTCCCGAATTCCATAGGAAAATATCCTTGTAATTTTCGAATCGCGAATAACACGAGTCGACCCTGAAAAATCTAGAATCGATTGTGTCCCATCATGCATAAACACATGTGTTTCCCTACAGCTTCCCGCCCTCCGCTCAAACAACGTGAATTAAGAATAATGTCGAAAAAATCTTTGGATGTGGCCCGCCGGCTTCTCCCAGTGCTCCTTCGTGGCCCACCGAAGATTTGACTTTGATCTCCCTGCCCTAAACAATGGGTCTGGGGTGACTTGACGAATCTAGGGGATACGACTATTGGTCACGCGGTCCAACCAAGCTGAGGTCGATTTCGCTTCATTTTCCATGATCGGCTCCAAGACTCCAACAGAGCGCACTGTAGTCGTTTCAGAGTACCCGTCCCGGTCGATCGAGGTTTCCGCGAAAATTTCCGGATAGGATCAGCGGTTTTTCGTGGACTTGTACCTACAGTCGTCTCCTCTTCCCCATATCGGTCATTAGTCATTACTAGGGCTGTGCAAAATATGCACCAAAAACTCGAAAATATGCATGCAGTATGCACGAAAAATACGGCCAAATATGCATGAAAATATGCACGGATTTTTTTATCAGAGATCCTTGTTACAAGCAACCATAACCGATTTCTTTAGTTTTTCAAAGAGGAATGAGTTCCCGTTGTCTGGCACTATCGCCCTATACTGCGGGAAAGAAAGCTCCTCTTCGCATGGTACCAGAGCCAACTGAGCTCTCTCGAATGTTTGGCGGCAGTCTACATCTCAAGTCAGAGGTTGCACGGCGTTGACGGTTGCACGCCGCCTACCAACTTCGGCAGTCAGAGCTGAGGCTCCCTGGAATCATCTGAAGGTACTTCATTAGGAGGCTTTTCGACAGATTTTGCTCTGGCTCGTGAGAACCGACGGGTGCTCTAGTGGTTAGCGCGTTTGTCACTTCTCGTGCAAACGTGCGTTCCACTTCGTGAAATGCCGCAACGTCGCCGCTCGATCGGGAGGTGGCGTGGGCTCGATCCCTGTTGCCGACAAAATATTCCTTACGGAAAGGCAGGTACTCGGCCTTGATCCTCCTGGGTACATTTGCTCTACGGATCCGTCCTCGGAAGCAATGTGAACAACAGTACCCGGGACGTTAAATCTCGGCTGTGTGGTCCAGCCCGAAAAAGTTTTCCTGGCTCGTGAGGAGAAGTCGACATGCTCTCGACTTGAGATTGAAAACTCATATATGGGAGCTCATAAGACGGAATTATATAAAAAATCACGAAAATTCAGAAATCGGCGAAATATGCAGTATGCATAAAAATATGCTTTATGCGTGATGCACAGCCCTACTCATTAGTGTTCACAAGCTCTCCAGGATGCTGTTCGAAAACCACTTCCCCGAGCGTGTTGGGAACTCTCGAAGAGACCCGCGTGGCAGCGTCGGGTGAATCACCAAACTTCAGTGGCTTTGCTGAAAGTCGCGTTGGGGGACCTCTGGTGTTCCTCGGCTGGAAAACGCGGATGGCTAAACGCTCACATTCGCCTCAATTGATGCCAAACTACTTACCCGACGCTTCACCTCTGCGGCCAACGCTGATGAGGCTTGCTCCATTCCTATAGAAGCGTGCCTGTTACACGCCCGTCGCTCTCGTACGGATGTCAGGAGCTATCGACCCGTAGGAATCACAGGGATGGCCAGCAATATCTTGGAACGTATACTTGCCGACCGTATCAGGAATCATTGTGAGCTCACAATCTGTTTGTCGCGAATCAATCCAATGGGACTCCCTCGGCCGGACTTGACGAGGGGGTTCTCTGCCTTCAACCGCGTTCTCTCTTGGTCAGAAACCAATGGCGTTCGATGAGCGCAATCAATGTTGTATCTCAAAGAGCCTCATTTATGTCACGAGAAACCCGAAGGAATTCCCTTCGGTGAACCGAACAGTTGCGATCTGGGATATACGTATGTACATCTGAGAGATAACTCATCCTCCCTCTGACCGGTTCCCAGCGAAACGGAGCCACGGGGGACAGAGGAATCGCGAACACCTACATTATGGCGAGGAACTTCGCTCTCGGTTCGGCCGTCGGGAGAGGTTCGTCGAGAGTTCCTGATCGTGATCATTCTCCTCGGGTACTTTCATGCATCCGCGAGATTGACCGGCTCATGCATGACGATGAGCGGGACTGGCGGGTGACTTCTGTCTCAAGAAAGACCCGCGTCGTCCGGACACATAGACGGTCCTACTTCAGAATCTTCTCACTTGCTCGAGCCAAGACGGACTCAAGTCCTACACATCGAAGTCATCATCGAACGGGAAGCGCTGGAATCCGCATGGAAGAGTCACTCCACAAGGGGCATCGATTTTCATACCGGAAAGAGACGGTGGGTCCTGCGGTCTTTCCTTGCGGTGCAATGAGCTTCCGGAGCAGGGGTTCGCAAGGAGGGGTCCTAGAATCCATAGAGACCTCGGGGGTCCCGGCTGCCGTTCTCGGGGGTCCCGAAGGTCGGTGAAAATAATTCATGTCATGATCCTCTGAAAATACGATGTAAATCGGTCATACCTTGCAGCAATATCGACCAGCTATTACGCATCAGAATCTCTTGCTATACTGATTAAGCGATCCTGTTCAACAATGAGTCGAAAACATCCTTTGCCTGACGAAGACACCGGCCTGTACTCCTGGAATGACATCACAAGGGGTCCCGAGCAGAGTCGAAGACTTCGGACCTGGTCCCGCGCTGGAAAGAAATCGAGAACCGCTTTTCTAGAGGTCCTATGTTGTTGTGAGCCATTCTGCGCTCCGGACAGTGATCGTCTCCGCTTCGACATCTGATTCGGAAACTTCCGAGACTTCGAAAGTTTCATAGCTCCCATACGAACAGCTAGAACAGTAAGCCCGGTCCTGGCGAGTCGCGCGCTCCCCATCACTAGTATGGCGAGGTTTTACGGCGAGCTCGGCAACGTATCAGCTGAAGCTGCCCATCGACCACTGATGAGTGCGACTGCGATTTCTCGCTGAGTTTGAAACCGATCCTCTCTGCGACTGGGACCGCGAAGAGTCGCGATGTCTGCGGCTGAATTACGTCAGAACCACAGCGAGTTCACAGCCCTATTAATGGGTCGCAGTCGTGGACTTCTGTTACAGACCTCAAAACTCCGGACGATAACGATGGGGAACAGATTGAGCAGTCCTGTCAAATGGTGGCGGAAGAGAAAAGAGAAGCTGAGAAACAAAAGGCGCCTCAAGTCTGAGAGAGCTGCGTTGCATGGGCAAGACGGAGAAGCTGAATCGGATGGAAGACGGAACGCTGAGGAGATGGCTATAAGTGAGGCGAGGCAAAGCGCGAAGAGCGACCGGAGGCAAGTAGCTCAACGTGATGGACGGAGCGCAACAAACGAGAGCTGGGCCACAGCAGAGACGAGTTTACGAAAATCGACAAGCGAGACAAGAGACGAAGAATCCATCCGAGTCGAACAACGTTGGAGACAACGTTTGAATGTTCGGCGGAGTGATTCAAGGAGAGAACCCGGACAGGAGCCGTCGAGCGACCCTGAACGCCGTCGGCGTCAAGAACTCGAGTCCGAACCCGACCCGTTTCCACTGCTGGAAGGCCAGAACCTCTTTGAATATGTGGCAAAAGATCTAGAAAACAG